GTGGTGCCTGCCTGGCATGTGTTAAATGCTATGTCATTACTCCTTACTAGTGTTTGTTCTGCCCCAGAGAGGTTAAAACTTGTTCCCAAATCCCCTGCAGGAGGCTTTGTCATCCCCACCCCCACCCCCACGTCGGGGCCCGGGCGGGCCTCCAGGGCTCATTCTACTGCTCCCAGGTCCCGCTGGGAAGCTATGGGAGGTTGGGGGAGGGGAGGGGATGGGCACGGGGGTGGGTGGGGGTGCGGTTGGGGGCAGGTTAGGGTGCTTTCTGCTTAACCACAACTGGAAGCCATTCTTCCCCGGGTCTCCCCCGGGACTCTACCTGAAAGCGGACTCAAGCCCCTTCTGTTCTCAGTTTTCACGGGCTTGCTGCCACCTTCCAAGGGCTCAGCTCTTAATCGAGTGTCCTTTTTCAGTCACTGATTTCACCACTGTTTCTTGGACGGCCCCCTTGGCGCCCAGCACGGCTCCGGGTACTAGCTATTTGGTGAACAAGACAGGGGCTGACCTCCCCGTGGGGGAGACCGGCAGTGATGAAGTCTCTCTCCCTGTACGCGTGAGGCCAGGGAGTCATAACTGCTATGCAGAAAATAAAAGAGAGAAATGGGACAGAGAGAGAGAGAGAGACACGGGGTACTTGCAGTCCGGGGTCCCCAGAAACGGGCCTTCCTTCCATCAGTTGTCTGTATATCCAGGTGTCGCGGTTCGGTCCTTCTTGATTTCCTATCCAAGTGAGCTCAGCTGCTATTTTGAGAGGCTCTCCTCACCCACCATTCCCGGGGTGGTGGAAACGGGAGTCGACTCCGTTCGCTGGAAAGAATGCCAGCTACCATTTCAGCGAAACAGGAATATTTGCATCGGAAAAGGACAGTCCGTCTTGGCAAAGAACATCTTAACTGGCGGGGCACGATGGGGGTCGCCGCACGTGTGTTGGAAACGTTGGCGGTGCACAGGATACAGGGGTCTTCCAAAGCTGGGGCGGGTTCGGCGGGGGTGAGGAAATCTCTCTGCCGGGTGCCCCCTTACCCCCTGCCCTGTGCGCACGGTCTTCCTTCTGCGTCTCAGGCCAGACCTGCAGTGCCAGCGACAGCCACGAGATGGCAGTGTCGCTCTACGCCTGTGGCCGGGCGGGCGCGTGGGCTGAGCAGAGCCTCGCTGGGGGCGGAGAAGGGCGCTAGAGGGGCCGCGTGGGGGGCACCTGCCGGGCGGGTAGGGCGTGCGGGACCTGGGGGAGCAGAGGGCCTCGAGCTGGCTGTTAGTTGGATCTGCCTCACTTTCCCCATCTGTACACAGGGGGAGAGTTTGGGCTGTGTAATTCTTAAGATCCTGCCCCAGGCTATGAGGCCAGTAGGCTGGGGGTGAGATTCTGGGTTTGCTGGGTGGGGGGATGGGGTACGCTTGAGAGGAGGGCTCTGCCCAGCTTCGTGGTGTGTGTGTGTGTGTGTGTGTGTGTGTGTGTGTCGTCCTCCTAGGTCATAGCTGCCAGTCCCTTTCACCTTCTCTGACCCCTTCAGGATCCAGGAAGGCCTTTCTCCTGCTCAGAATAACGCTGGAAATAACCCCATTATCATCTAAACTCAGGGGCCTGGTTTAATACGCAGGAGTCCTCCCCCAACCACAGGACCCGCGGGGGCAGGGCTGGGGTTCTCATCTCACGTAATGAGCTCAGAGAGGTTCAGGGGTTTGTCCAAAGTCACACAACGGCGTGGAAAAGCCACCCTCAGAAACAGAGCCCTCTCCTCAGTTATCTCTAGCAGCTATCCATGGCGGAGGTGGGGGGAGAACGGTGCCCCTCTACCTTAGCTCCCTAACAGCAGTACTTAGAACAATATATGAACAGGGCTGGAGAGGGGTGGGGGTGGGGGCTGGAGAGGAGTCTATTTTATTTTTTTATATTTTTAAAATTATTTTTTCGAAGTTATTTATTTATTTATTTTTTGAAGTAATTGCTACATCCAATGTGGGGCTCGAACTCAGACCTCCCCGATCTAGAGATGCGTGCTCTTCGCATGGAGCCAGCCAACAGACCCTGGAGGGGTCTGTTTTCCATGGCTGGTCTGGGAAGGCCTCTCTGAGGAGATGATGTTTGCACTGAGTTCCGAAGTGAGAGGGAGGCAGCAGGGGGATGAGCCGGGAAGGGTGTGCCCAGAGGAGGAACACACGAGGCCAGAGTGCAGAGGTGGGAACCGTGAGCCTGAGGAACAGTTAGGACCAGGGGTGGGAAGGTGGGGGGTGTTTGGGTGCGCTGAGCCAGGGGGAGTGCTGAGGTAGGCAGATGCTGTGCCTATACCCCCAGCCCTGCCCTGGAGAAGCCAGGTGGCTCTGTAGTGTGTGTGTGTGTGTGTGTGTGTGTGTGTAGTCCTTTAGGAGGGTAGTCCCTTGGGGGAGGTTGTCTGCCATCACTCCTGACACCATATAACCCTTGGCTCAGGGACTCACCAGAACTATTCACCCCTTCCCCGTGCAACCTCCGCCGGAAAATGCCTTGTTATCTTTGGTCACAGACCCCCAGCCCTCACTGACCTGCTGTCTGGTCCAACACGTGGGGCTCCTTGGCTGGAACCCCCCCAGGTCCTCCTGCTAGGAGCTCCCTGGAGCTTAGTTGTGTATGCATTTCCAATTGTGAGACAGAGAATTCCTGGAGGGCAGGCACCTGCATTCCATTCATTTTTTTCTCCCCATTCCTTCCCCCCCCCCCCGCCCGCGGCTTTACAGGTCCTGCACCCAGTAGGTGCTCAGTTCAGCAAACCCTTATGAATGTACGAGTGGGAAAGAGTGGGGGAAGCAGCCAGGCTGGGAGGATCCCAGGAAACGCTGACAGCATCTGGGGGGGGGGCATTCTCCTCCCAGCTAGGGGAACAGTCACAGAGGAGTGGACAGATGGGTCCTTCACAGGGCCCTCCCCTCCCCACACCTAAGGAGACCACCCATTGTCCAGCCTGACATTTGGTTCTCCAGGCATGGATCACAGGCCTTGCCCAAGAGCCCAAAGTGGGCTTGGCCAGTGCATGGGTTCTTTGAAAAGGAAGCCTATTAGTTGCGATGGGAAAATCCCTTTCTGTCTTGCAATTAACCTGGCCCAGAGACTCACCACATGCCCCTAGCTCTTTCTTCCTTCTTTTATCTAAGAAGAGCTGAGCGCTGCTTCTGCTAATGAGCTTGTCTGTACTAATGAAGCAGGTGCCCTGTCCCCCGCCGTCCCCCCTCACCAGCTGGGAGGGGGGAGGATTGTTCTTCTGATGTGAGCTCTGGGCCCACAGAGGGAGATCAGATACATGATAATAATGACCATAATGATGAGAATGATAATGTCCACAGTGGATCCCTTTAAATGAGCTCTTACTTCATAGGTCAGGGGCTTTATATACCTTATGTGGGACACCAGGTGGACGCTGCAATGGCTTCCATTTCTCAGATGGGGAAACTGAGGCTGGGGAGCATAAATGACTTGGCCCAGATGGCATAACTAAGAGTGGCAGGGCCAGGTTCTCAGCCAAGACTTTGAGATTCTGCCTCCCTCCACGCTGCCTTATTGACGTTTCCAAAGAGTTTGCCCCACTTTTTAATGGAAAACCTAGACACTGGAGCCCGTGGCCGGTGCCTGGGAGCTGGGACAGAGCAAGGACTCCCACCTCAGGGTCCCATCTTCCACCCACCCCTCCTCCAGCTGCGGGGGGGGCAAGTTTCAAGTCATCTGAGGACTGCTGTAGGAGCCCCCACGTGCGCCCAGCATGATTCACTCATTGCGCTGCGCCCCCGTTGCTCCGCCCCGGGTTGGGGTGAGGGGAGGCGGGGGAGGGGGTGGATAATAGGGGCTGTGACCCCCAATAAGGGCCTGTCCCCAGGCTGGAAGAATCCCACCACCCAGTCCCCGTCCCGGCCTCCACTACACCCTGGAGCGGTCGCCCTGGGAGCTCGTCCCTCGTCTCGCGCCCCCTCCGCTTCCAGGGCGTCCTCTTGCTCGGGCAAATAAGGGCCCCCGAGGGTCTCTGCCTCACACCTGGAGAGACACCCCAAGACGACTTCGATTTCTTTCAGGACCCCTGACCGCGCCCAGCCAGCGCACCCGTCCTGGTCCCGGTGCTCGGTGGAAACTCCTCAGGTAGCCCCCGACTCCCCGAGGCCACCCCTGCCCTCCCCTCCCCCACAAGCACCCCCAAGCCGTGCCAAATTTATCCTAGGACCTCTCGTCTGCGCTCAGCCTTGCAATCCCTGTCCCCTGCGGAACCCATCCCACCCCCCCCAGACGTCGCTGCCCCACTCCAAGGACCTTCCCCTATCTCCCCCACCCTGCGACCTTGGGAACTCCCGTCACTTGGCCCGAATACACCCCGATCTGTGTGCTTTTGGCCGGCGGGTGCCCCCTCCGGCTGCCCTGTCCGCGCCCACGCCCCAGACCACCCCCGCGGGTCTCCCCAGGCCTGTGCGGCCCAGCGCCTTCCCCCAGGGACGCCGGGGAGTGGCACGTCCCGCCGCCTATGGCTGGGCGGCCGCCCGGGGCCCCGTCTCCGCGGCGGGCCCGCCCCCTCCCCGGCCCCGCCCTCCCGCCGCCGCCCCGCCCTCCTCTCGGCGCTCGCCGCTCGCTCACTCTCTCGCGGGCTGAGGGGCGGCCGGCAGCTGGCGCGGGCAGAG